TCTCTCTCTCCCTCCTTCCCTCTCTCCCTCCTTCTCTCTCTCTCCCTCCTTCTCTCTCTCTCCCTCCTCTCTCTCTCCCTCCTTCCCTCTCTCCCCCTTCTTTTGTCTCTGTCTCCCACACACACACACACACACACACACATACACATTCTCCTGCATCTCCCGACCTGTCTGTGGTGACTTGATTCCAGGGTCAGGGAGGGAGTGGCCCGGCTCAGCTGCAGCTTTGCTTTCCCAGAGGGCAGTTTAAGTGCATTGAGGTTTGCTGGCTGATGTCTCCCTATTTACACTGAGCAACTGTGGCCTTTTCATCATTACCAGCTCAGCCAGGTACACTGGTACATGACAAGCATTCTATTTTTTGTAAATCTTTAACCCACAGGAGCCCATCTAGGTGGGTAGGGGAGCAGCCTCAGAGAGGAGAGGGACTGCCCAGGACCACCCCAGAACTCTAATTCCTAGACACCTCCCACCTTGAGACAGTTGACTGGGTTGGGGAGGGGGTGCTGCCCATCGTAGTTTCTCACCTAGAAGCTGCAGAACCTCACCCACCAGCAGCTAGCCTTGTGGATATTCTTTCAAACCTGAATCCTACAGAATATGTCCTGTTCATGCCACTTACAGAAGAACTTTAAAACAAAAGAAAGCCACCCTTTAATCAGAGCAGGCAAAACCCAGGGTTTTGATAGCAAGGTTCACTTCTAACTTATGAAGCATGCATTTTGCTTGAGTTATTTCCCCCACACACACACATTTTTTAGAGGAATGGGCAGTGACTTTTGATGAAACACAGCACTTCTGTTCTCTGGAGCCCCAAGGAAATGGAGAAATTCTCTAGAGGGTAATCCCCAGGGGCCCCTGACTGCCTGGTTGTGGAGGCTGAGCTCTGCCAGTGAACCTTTTAATTTTCAAAGACTTGCTTGAGAAAGCGTCTGTATTTAGGGAGCCATCCCATTGATGTTAGTGAGGGAGAGTCCCAGGCAGCTTGCAGGCTGCCATAACAAAATACCACAGACCAGGCAGCTTAATCAACAGAAATTTATTTTCTCACCGTTCTGGAAGCCAGAGGTCCAAGGCACAGGCCCACTCTGTTCCTGGTGAGGGCTCTCTTCCTGGCTTGCTGACGGCTGTCTTCTTGCTGTGCCCTCACATGGGGGCAGAGATGAACTCTAGTTTCTTCCTCCTCCTATAAGAACACTAAACCTGCTGGATCAGGGCCTTATCTTTTGTTCATTTCTAGAGCAAATCCAGCCCTTGCCGGCCCCTCTGACCCTCCTCAGGTGCCACAGAGGTTTCCCAGGGACCCACGCTCCCCTCCAACCAGCTGGGTGACCTAAGGCATTCACAGCCCTTGCTGTCCATTGCCATGACTTTGGACTCCAGTTTGACAGGGAACAGGCTCTGCGCTGAGGGGACAGGCAGCCAGCCTGACCTCTGGCTAATGATGGGCGTCTGCTCCAGTCCATCTGGGTTGTCCTACCATGGGCTGGGGTTGGGATGTGATGGTGACTTTTGGCCTTGAGTTAGGTTGGTAAAGCATTAACTACCTGTGCACAGAATTTTTTTTTATAACCAGCCAGCTTCCTCGGGACACTCCTGCATGTTCATACAAGGCTTCCAATGCATCGGAATCATTACTATCCCTGCCTGAAGCCTGGGGGTAGCAGGATGCGTGTCGGTTCCATTTATTTCACGGAGCGCTGCTAATCAAACAGCCTATCTCAGGAGACAGACCTGTGCACCATCTTCACATCCCATGAGGGATTTTTTTTTAATTTTGCCATTGTTATCTCCTTGATGAAAACCCTGGTGGTTTTGTGCCCTTTATGAAAAATGTTTTAGTGTCCAACCAGGATGATCAAAAAACCTAAATGGAAAAGTTGTACTGTTGCTGCTTTAGATTGATTCCAAGTCAAATCATGAAGAGTTAGGATTCAGTAACCTGCCAGAAGCTTCTTTTTCATCCTCACCTTCGCCTAAAAAACCGAGGCTTCCTCTTGCCAGCACTCAGCCAATTCTTGATGAGGATTTCCTGAATGAATGCTGCAGTTCTGGGCTAAGTTCCCGGCAGCTCTGTGTTGTGGGGAAGCCCCCTTGGTATGTCACCTCTCTCTCACTCACTACTGCCTCTCCCCCAGCTCCTGTACGAAGAATGGGCAAGGTACGGCGTCTTCTATAAGTACCAGCCCATCGACCTGATCAGGTAAGAAGGCCCCGGGCAGGCGGGCTCCTCAGCCAAAGTCACTGGGCATCAATCGAGTCTCGTCAGTTTATGGCACCCAGGTCCTAGTTCAACAGCGATCTGATAAAGGTTCCAGTGCTTTTCAGCTGCTCTGAATATTTAGTACCTGGGAACCTGCTGAACTTGAAGAGCTTGTGTGGGGAGAACCAAGGCCTCCTCCGGGGACCAGGACGGCAGCCTGGGCCAGCCTTAGTGAAGCAGTTTGTTCAAATTCCCAGGCTCTCTCCCATCACATTCGTGGCTCCTCCTGAATTCCCACCTGGCTGGCCCAGCTGGGGGGTGGCGGTGGCGGTGGCGGTGGCGGTGGGGCTCCTGCTTTCCGGAGTTGAGGGGAGGAAAAGAGCTGCCTCAACATTTGTGAGAATTTGGCCTCTCCGGAGAGGACCTCCGTCCCCGCTGGGCAGGAAGGAGGGGAACCAGATTGGGCAATGTGTCCTGTGGGGACTTGCAGGGACTGGGAGTCTCTAGTTTAGCCCATGGAAATTCATTTATGCCATCGAGGTGCCAACAATGCTTAGTATGAGGAATGACTGATTCTCTTGGTGCCTCCACACCGTGCTGCATTCCAGTCCTTACGCTGAACAGGACTCAGAATGGAGCCGGCAGCCCTGGGGAAACACCTGAGCCCACCCGTAAAACAGAAACCCATCCACCTCTCCCCAAAGGAGAGGGGGCAAGCATAGGAAAAGCAGAGGGCACCCCAGACCTGACAGAGTGGCCCCAAGCCTACCTCTCTGCTACCTGGATAAGAAAACCAATGATGACCCCAGTTTGAACTGTGTCTTGCTGGGGAGGGGACCTGATGTGGTGGTGGGTGACAGTAAACTGGTGTCTGTCTGGCTCTGCCCCTGTGATGCAGGAAATACTTTGGGGAGAAGATTGGCCTGTACTTCGCCTGGCTGGGTGTGTACACCCAAATGCTCATCCCAGCCTCTGTCGTGGGAATCATAGTTTTCCTTTACGGATGTGCCACCGTCGATGAGAACATCCCCAGGTAGGCAGAGCCCCTCACCCCACGGCACAAGCTCCCTTCCTGGGATGGTGTCCCTGTCCTGCAGTCCCAGCTGCAGAGTTCAAGAGACTCTAGCCTCTCGTGGTAATTCTTATACACACGCTCAGCCCCCGACCCCTGGAAATCTCGTGCCAAGTCCCAGGCTGTCGGGAAAAAAGGCACGATCCACTCACCATCTAAATGTGTGGTTTTCTTTTGGGGCATGATCCTCATAGGATACATTTTATTTCAAGAAGAAGATATAAATATCCAACCCATTTTCATTCTTTAGAAGGTTTTATAAGACCGAATCTCCCTCTGTTGCCCTGGCTAGCTCACAGCAACCTCAAATTCCTGGGCTCAAGCAGTCCTCCTGCCTCAGCCTCCCAAGTAGCTGAGATCACAGCCATCAGCCGTGACGCCTGGGTAATTTTTCTATTTTTAGTAGAGACGGGGTCTTGCTCTTGCTCAGGCTGGTCTCAAACTCCTAAGCTCAAGTGATCCTTCCACCTTTGGGATTACAGGTGTGAACCATCACACCAGCTCTTTAGAAGGTTTTTTGGGTTTGCTTGTTCCTTTTAATTTTTGGTCATTATGTGACCATAAAATTCATGACTTCATGGCGTGGTCAAGAAGTGAGATGCTTCTGGCTCGTGTGCAGGCTGGAGCTCTGGAGCCATGTGGCAACTCCACCTGCCCCGTCTTCTCAGCAGGGCCTGCTCCTGTCATTCTCATGGCTGGGGGACATGTTGCAGGAAGAGGGCATAAAAAAGGACAGCATCGCGCAACACACCCAGGTCTCTGAGTATAGATCTGGGGTGCCTTCTGCTGTTCACCACAGGCCACGTCACGTGTAGGGGAGCTCATGGAAGAAGGCCAAGACCTAGGGCAGTTCTCCCCAAATGGCAGCCAGAACAAGCATTGAGGGTCCGGATTTTGAGGTCTTCATCCTCAGTGTACGTAGCATCTCCTGTCCTTCAGGAGGTGTTTCCTCACTTTCCTGATGCCAGCCGAAGACAACTCCAGGCCCACAACCTCGGTCAGGAGTGCCGTGCTGTTGTCTGTGTGCAAATTGCTCCATCAGGGAATTGAGACCCTAAAGGTGAATTCCAGCTGGCCCTGAAAAGTCCTGGTGCATCAGTTGGTCATTTCCCTGATGACTCTGCCAGGTGTCTCTAAAGCTGAGCTGGAGTTTGGGAGATCCACCCACAGTGCCAGGGAGTGCAGAGCCATCAGTCTCCACCAGGCGAGGAACTGGCTCAGCACGGAAAGATCATAGCCAGTCAATTTTTGTTGAAATGTTTTCATACATGAATAACACCTAAAGTATTCCACCCACCCGGAACCAAAGCCTTAAAGGAATCTGGCTTACCCCCCCTTCTGTGTTGTTTGGGTCCTCGCAGGAGAAAGCTCGTCCCTTTGTTTGCCAGCAGACGTGATGTCACACACTTGGGCTTGATTGTGGGAAAGAGCAAAGTAGCCCAGACCCGGTGGGATTTTGAGACTGACTTTTGGCTAAAAGAGCTCAAAGCAAGAGGGAAGTGGCAGTGAAAGGTGGGGTGTCCCCTGGCCCTGGAGGGGGCCTGGGGAGTCTCCAGCTTCCTTCCTTTTTTCATCTAGTGGAGGGCTGCCTGCCAGCCCTGGGTGTGGACGCCCCGAGAGCAAGTGTGAGATCCCCTTGGTCATGCCCACCGGCCTTTGGCCACCTGGTCGGATATACCAGCAGTAGTCACTCAAGATTCAGCCACTGTAGGACACAGACAAGGCCAGTGTCCTGGCCTCTGCCCAGAGTGTACTCCATGTGGAGTCCATCCTCCCCACCAAGGCTGCAGAGAGACCATGGCCAGCATGGTGCCACCCACCATCGTCCCTCTCTGGTCTTCTGAGGAACAGGCCTTCCTGCCCTTATCGTTACTGTGGCTGAAGGTCACGAAGTGAGAGGCAGAGGATTTCAATCTGGCAGAAAAAGGCTTGTGGCTGGCTGATGATGTTTGCTGTGGAAGCTGAAACTGGCAGGGAGCCAGGATCAGGAACTACAGGGCTCAGGGGCTACAGGGCTCAGGGGCACACAGGGCTCAGGGGCCGCGGGGTTCTGGGGCACACAGGCAGGGAATATGCCTGGGCCCTCCCTGTCCCCAGTCCCTGCAGGTTAGGTGATGACTATGGTCCTGAGTCAAATGCTGACCATGGCAATGGTGGCACTCCATCTGCAGGTTCCCTGAGAGAGGGCTGCAGGTCACATACAGCTAGGAACTTCCTCGCCCAGACCTCATGTCCCCTTCTGTCTCCCTAGAGAGGCCCTTAGAAGAGATAAGACTGATGGGCAAATCCCACAAGTCTGGCTCCTGGGCTTCTGTTTAAAATGCACTGCTGACACCCAGGCACTTGGTTATTCCTCAAACAATAATTACAGCAGTGACCATGTGTGTGTGTAGTGTGCCAAGCACTGTTCTAAGGGCTCTGCACACATTGGTCTCTTTAATCCTCCTGATACCCCAATAGCTTGGGCACCCCTTATCATCAATACCCCCATTCTACAGATGAGTAAACTAAGGCACGAGGAGTTTGAGTAACTTGCCCGGGGACAAACAGATCACAGATGCTAGAGCTGAGATTTCAACCCACAGCGCACATGCTCTCCTGCAGCCTGTGAGTGCCTCTCGCCTTGCCCGTTCCCACTCACATACACCCTCTCTCTCTCACACACACACACACATACAAGCATACTCGTCCCCAGATGTAGTGGCCTTGGCTGTGATCAGTCTCCATCTTCCATCTCTGATGCCCACCATAGTGTCTGGCATGTACAGAACATACACAGTTTTTTTTTTTGGAGACAGAGCCTCAAGCTGTCCCCCTGGGTAGAGTGCCTTGGCATCAC